GAAGGAAATGATCCTACAAAATTGAAAATACTTACCATATGTCCACTATCTTGGAGTATTAGGAAAATTAGTAGAGAGTTTGGGACAACAACGTATTTAGCATCAAAAGCGAAGGAACTAAGATCGACTAAAGGGGTTTTGGCCGATATAAATGTAAAACGTGGTAAAACCTTGTCTCGCGAAACCACTAAGAAAGTAGACGATTTTTTTAATGACGATTCAAATAGTAGGTTCATGCCTGGAAAAAAGGACGTAGTATCAGTAAAAAAAAATGGAGTACGTACCAATGTGCAAAAACGTCTGCTATTAATTGATCTTAAAGGGCTTCATGTGTTATTTAACGAATCAAACCCGGAGAATACCCTTAGTTTCAGTGCTTTTGCAAAATTGCGTCCAAAGCATTGTATACTGCCTGGGGCAAGTGGAACACACTCGATGTGTGTTTGTACCATCCACCAAAATTGCAAGTTAATGCTGGACGCAATAAATATTGCCGCATTAACTCAAAATTCAGACAATCCAATTAATGACTACAAAGATTGTATAAACTTGATCACGTGCAATGATGCTACATCTGATTGTTTCTTGGATTCGTGTAATCAATGTCCAGCAATAAATAACATTTCTAATTTATTGCTTGAAGCTCTGACAAATGCGTCGATTGATGAAGTAGAATATAGCGCATGGGTAGCAACGGATAGATCTACATTAAAAACTATTAAAGCTGATGTACATGATTTTGTTGATGAATTTTGTTCAAAATTAAAAACTCTGAAACCGCACTCATTCATCGCCAAGCAACAATCACTGTTTATTTCTGAAAAGAAATCAAATCTTGCTAATGACGAAGTACTCGTTATGTTTGATTTTTCAGAAAATTATGCCTACGCTGTCCAAGATGCTTCTCAAGCATTTCATTTTAATAATCAACAGTGCACAGTGTTTCCTGTCATTTTTTATTATAAAGTAAAATCGGAGTTAAAACATTCGAGTTGTATATTTTTGTCAAATTGTGTGAAACATGACACAGCTGCCGTGTATACTATACAAAAACAGTTAATTCCAGAAATTAAAAAAACTGTGCCCAACGTAAAGACACTCATTTACATGACGGACGGTGCAAAACAGCACTTCAAAAATAGATATCAAATGGCGAACCTATTAAACCATAAAGAAGATTTTGACCTCAATGCAGAATGGCACTACAGCGCAACTGCGCATGGCAAAAGCGCATACGATGGTCTCGGAGCAACATTTAAGAGGGAAGCTTATAGAGCTAGTCTTGTGGCTAAGCCCTCACAAGCACTACTAACGTCAGATGCGCTATATAACTGGGCAAAAGGGCACTTCAAAAACATAAACATTTTTTATTATACGAAAGTTAATCATGATAAATCAACAAGACATTTAAATAAAAGATTTCTTTCAGCGTTACCTGTTCCACAAATTTTGATAAATCATTCTTTTCAAGTAACAGGACCTAAAACGTTATTTTTGAAAAGATTTTCGAATGCAATCAATGGAATCGAAGTTTGTTTACAAAACGTACATTGACAAAACGCGCTTTTGTATACAATACATTTAATACGCACACTCACACTAACACGCACACACACACACCAGAGAGGGTTTGGAGTCGAAAAATACCGTGGAACCGACGAATCATGGGGTCCTGATCTCTGGTGTAACACACACACACACACACACACGCACGCACACACGCACAAATACAAGTGAGAGGCAAGGGGATACTCACTTTAAATCAACACCCCGAAGGGACCAGTTTCCTACCACGTCCACGTCGTTGGTCCTGGGTGACGCCGAGAGTAGGCCATACTCACATATACACGCACGCACACACGCACATGCACGCACCCATCCACCCAAGAATGTATATGATTTACTCTAACCACGAAATATGAAAATTTAACATTATTGTCCACCATATTGGATCCGCCATTTTGAATATTTAAAATTTGACTGCAGATTCATAATCTGCGGCCCCGGAAACCCCCGAGTAACAATTTTCAACAAAATCCAATCACTTTTCAAAAATTCGTGCGCCATTTTGAAATTTTAAAATTTTTCTACAGATTCACAATCAGCGCATCCAAAAACAAAGAATAAAACCCAAAAATTGAATATTTCGCCGTAACAAACAATTTTATGAATGCTTTTTATGCTCGTTTTCGAAAGTTTATTCTTTTCAAGCGCCATATTGGTGCCGCCATCTTGAATTTTCCAAAAAGACCAATCACCAAAAAAAACTAGTCAAGCATAGCTTCAATATGAGACCTCATACAACTCTCTACGTTGCGTCAAATTTTGGACAGGTGGGGTGTCAGATTTGACAAAGAATGCCCCATATATATATATATATATAAGAAGCACATGCTTGTAATTAGAATCATTGAACCATTGAATAATTATTTCATTTAATTTTGTTGAATGAAAGAATTATTATTCGTTATATTATTATAACATATAAAAGTTTACATCGACTGTCTGTGTGCGATTGAAAGTTTAGATTCCTAAATTTCTTTTATTCATTAAATTATTAATTTGTTTTACAGATTAAAATGTTTTATTGTCAATTTTGTGCATTTAAAACGTTATCACTAACGTCTCACATGGATCATTACAAATTTCATAGAAATATTACACATTACCATTACTGTGGATATAATAAGTGCACTAAGTTTTTTCAAAAAAACATTTATTTGACAAAACATTTAATTCGAGTTCACGGCTTTATGCAGTCAAAAAATCAGAGAACTATTATCAGAGATGCAATTTGCACTTCTGACGAACGGTGCAAATATATACATGTATGTAGTGTTGACATATGCAAAAAAGAATTTGATCATTTTTCTAAATTTGTGAAACATTTAAAATTTCATATTAAAAAAAAAGATAGAATCATGTGTCCCTATCCACAATGTAAAAAGAAATACACAGTTGTATCTTCTTTTACTGGTCATATATCAAAAATGCATAGAAACGGTTATAACACAGATAATATTCGAGAAAGTAATGACAACAATATTGCTACAGAATCTGTTGAGTTCTTTGAGCCATTGAACGAATCAGTAAGTGAATCAGTAGTCTTACCTAATAATTGTCGTGAGCTGGAATTAGAAGTAAATGATCAATTAAATGTCAATTCAATAGAATTAGAAGATGTGGATAACAAAGTTTCATATAATACTGTTATTGAATCAAATCTATTTGTTGAAAATGTTGCACAGTTTTATTTAAAATTAGAATGTCAATACTTACTTTCAGCAACAACTATTCAATATATAACAAATGAAGTAAGTAAAATGCACGAAGAAACGCAAGAAATTATAAAAAAGAAATTAACAGAACGGCTTGCAACAGAAGGCATGTCACAGCAGCAAATAGTTAGTATTTTAAAAGAAGCTTTTAACTCTGATCTTATACTAAAAACTAACGATACACTTGCCACAAATTTTAAAAGAAAGAAATTCTATAAAAATAAGTTTGATTATGTTAGTCCTCTTCAGGTTATAATTAATCAACAGAAAAAAACAACTTTTGCTTACATACCTATAATAGAAACATTAAAAAGTTTTTTTACGGATAAATCTCTTCGAAACGAACTTGGACATGAAGAACCTTATAAAAAAGATGTCCTACAAGATTTTATGGATGGAAATATTTACAAGAATAATAAATTTTTTCAAAAAAATCCAGATGCTTTACGAATCATATTGTACCAAGATGCATTCGAAATTGTAAATCCAATAGGAGCTGCAAGAAAAAAACATAAATTACTAGCTATTTACATGAGTCTCAGAAATGTCCCTCATTATCTACGATGTCATATTAATTCCATTAAGGGGGGAAACTAGTGTAAAATTTTGAAATTTTCGAAAATTTAGTTTTTCGCTTAAAAGGTGCTTTAGGGTCTTAAGAATAACATACTAAAACATGGAATGCGGCAGAACTTGTTACCCTTTGCAAAGAATCAGACTTCGAACATGAAACAGTTTATGGTAAAGTAGTAACAAATTTTTAAAAAAATGGAGCAAGAAGGAGTAGAAATTAACGGAAAATTTATAAAAGGCTCTCTTGTTTTTATTATCGGTGATAATCTTGGAAGCCACGAATTAGGTGGATTTATTGCAAATTTTAGTACTTCTGAATATTTGTGTAGATTTTGCTTGATAACGAGAAACGAATTTTATCAGGAAGACGGTGCATACAAAATATATACTCCCAGGACCATCGAGTCATACAATGATGCCTTAAATCTGATTGATAACAGTAATAATAGCTGTCAGGGAATCAAATTCAATTCAATTTTTAATGAATTACAATATTTTCATGTGTGCGCGCCAGGATTGCCTCCTTGCATTGGGCACGATTTATTCGAAGGCGTTGTAGCCTTCGATTTAAAATTATATATTGATTATTTTATTTAAAAAAAATGGTTTACATTCATTGAATTAAATACTCTGATTGATAAGTTCCATTATTCAGTAGAAGATCGGAAAGATAAGCCTTGTGTATTATCAGCTACAAGTAAACGGATTATTGGTGGAGCTTGCCAAATCTGGACATTTTTATGGATTTTCCCTCTATTAATTCACAATAAAATTGAAGACATTCATGATGAAGTGTGGTTTTGTTTTCTTTTACTGACAGAAATTGTCGAAATTGTATGTTCACCGACAATTCACAAACCTTATTTACCTTATCTTCATAGAATAATTTCGGAGTACTTATCTATGAGGCAACGGTTATTTCCTGACATTAATCTCCGATCAAAGCATCACTACATTTCTCACTACTGCAAATTAATTTTAGAATTTGGTCCTTTGATAAAAGTTTGGACCATGAGATTCGAGAGCAAACATCGATTTTTTAAAAGGAACTGTTATGTCGTCCCGACCTATACTAAAATAAAAATTAAAGACAGGATTTCGGAACGGCTTATGGTAGGATAGATCTTTATTTAATGGAGTTGATCAGGATTAACCATCCTCTGGCGTACCTGTGAAACAATAATCACAGTCGATTGCACGTTGGTGTACGGCCTATCTCCCGTTTCGATTAAGTATCTACGAAAGTCGTGTAATAGGTGGCTACATGTACCACACGCTGATATTGGACTGCTACGCGGAAATAAACTGTTGCACAAATGGCAGCGGTCAGATTCGTCAAAAGCTCCTATGTGAATATAGTGACGTGAAATGCTTGTATACTGGCTACGATCGTAAGGAGACTTGTCCGCGTAACATCACAATACTAATACTACAGCACAAATACTAATATTACTTTGCTGATATTGGTAGCTTATGGCTGTACAACAGAGAGCGGTATTGAGCCACGCCTGATATGGAACGCTTATATTATCCCGGAGGATGTTATGATGTATCGGGTTGAGTGACGGACTCATGAGTTAAGAGAAATAGAAATAATTTACTTTATAAAACCGTGATTATTGGTGGTACAATCGCGTTGTAGAGGAAAAGCTAAGATCTGTTATAGAATCGTGAATTTAAACTAAATGTATACGTTTCGTGGTCAACGTAAGAGTTCGATTATAATATAGCGCGGTCGGTCCGAGCGCGTAATGTAAATAGTTAGAGTACGTGACTCGAGAGCGGTCAGCGATCAGCGGTCCGTTAGACAATGCCGTTGTCTAATGAATTAGATTAAAGCGTAATGCAAATAGATTTGGTATTCTTACCGAAATGGTAGAGGCAATGCTGTCACCATGAATTTGTTCTGTTACCTGTGGTTCCTCGTTTCGTCTGAGGTTCTCTAAGTGGAAGGCTTCGGTCGGTCTTTCGTCTCGCAAATGAGTTATGCCGCAGTGGTTGTTTGATATGATATTTATTATAGTATAAAAGTAATTTAATGATAACTGAATATAATTGATATTCGCGGTTTAAAGTATACGCAAAATAATACACTGTGAATTAGGATTAAAAATATGAATTAGGATATGGAATAGAATATAATTAAAATATGGATTAGAATATGGAATAGAATTAAGAGTAACAGTAAGAGTTAGAGTTAGAGTTACGAATATGGAACTTGAATTTGAGTTAGTGGATGTGGAGTTGGAATCGAGTGGAAGACTTCTTCCGTAAATCTTGATCTAAATCAAAATTCTGTCTAAATTCTTCTGAGCTCTGTGCGCTCTTGTGCCCTTTTTAAGGCTTGGGTCCCTACCAGGATGTATCCAGGAGTAGAGCGTTTAGAAGTAGGAATCATCTTGGTGGTGGAAGGGTCAAAGGTGGTGGAAAGGTTAAGATTAATATGTGGGTAATGACGGTGTCGGTAAGGAAGGTGTCGGTAATTAGGATGTTGGTAATGAAGATATGTTGGTAAGGCATAATGGTAAGGATGGTAATAGGAAGAGTTACAATTAGTCTCTTAATGTTATACTTATATCTAAACGCATATAACGCGTATACAAAAGGAAAAAGCAAAGTAAAAATATACGGACGGGGGGGACGTAACAGAACATTCGAACTCTTCTTAATTTTATTAATGTAGTGAAATCCTTGAGTGAAAAACATGAACTTTTTCAAAGTCTGGTACGATTGGGAATTGACAATAGACTTGAATTAAAAGTATACGAACTTGGCCATTTTAACCTCGACTTATATCAGGAAGATATTAAAGCTGCCATAAGGAAAATTAATTTACTTGATGACATCCAACAATGAAAGTTAATTTGAAAGGTACAGAATACAGAAAAGGGCATGTTCTAGTAATACGCCAAGATGGTTACCAGGAGAACATTACTATAGGGAGAATCTGTTTGTTTCTTTGCTCCATTGAAATGCATGTCTATGCTGTGTTTGAAGTAATAGATAGTTCTTTTATACCATCCCTTCGAGCTTATGAGCTCGGGCGAACAATTGGTTATGACTGTCTTTCCTTGCATGAAATAATAGATTTCAAACCAATGCACGTATACAATTTAGGAAGTATGCTGTGTGTTAAGCCATGTTATGGATTTGTGTCTAAGTTTTTTTAACCAAATATGCTATTCACCTGCACATATATTGCCTATTCTTTTTATTATATATTTCCTGTTTTTATTAATTACTTTAAAAATTCTTGTTTTAACAAAGCACAATAAAGTTATTATATCGTTCATGTATTTGTATATTCATATGTACATTCATATTGTATGTTATAATTATTATGTGTATTATTATGTAACATTCGTTATTACGTTTATGTTGTACTCATATATATAAACATTACGAATGGATTATAAATTAATAAATACTTTTTTCAGATTTTAGGATGCCTTTATTTAAAATTGAATGACCTGGTTCTAAAAGAGTAATTGTAAATGCTGAAAGTATTTCACAAATAATTGAAATTGCTATTAAAAAATTCGATCTTCCTGCTGATGAAGTTTATACAGTAAATTCGTAATTTCACTTATTAGTTTTATAACTGTAATAGAATCTCATCTTTTTCTGATGAAAGTTACCATATCTCGAAAACGGTTCGACCAATTTACTTCAAATTATACATATTATATAATACTATATACATACACACATACACACACACACACACACATACATACATACATATGCTATTGTATACGTGTATCAATGTATATACATCAATATTGTATACATGTATCAATATATGTACAATTATTATTGTTGAGTAAAGAAACTTGTATTCTTTTTGCGTTAAGTGGAACGCTGTTTTCTCGTAGACTGAGATTGTATCTCGTACCTTGTTGGCGTTGTAGTAACGAATTATGCAGGACGAAAAAGAATACTAACAACTGATTCTGCTAAATTCTACTTTAATGCGTCTTAACATAATCGATCTGTTTTACAAGTGAACAAAGAGCACGTTCATGGCGTAACTCACAAAACGTAACTAACTTCTTGATACGAAAAGGCAACGGCCAACACGAGAGCCGCACGCAAGGCCCAATAGTTCCTAGTAGCGCCACGGAAGCGCGCGCAAGTTGTGAGGCAGGTCGGTAAGACCACGCGAATGGTTGGTAAACGAAATATGCAAAACGTGTATTAGCATTAGGAGCTAACATGCCGCCGGCCTTGAAAGGATCATCTTTCAACAAAGTAAAAGTAGCTGTGATATACAAGCAAAATAACATATATAAATTGTCGAGACAATCAACCAAATGAAATAGAAAAGAAAACGAAAGTATGATTAATATGCATGTCTAAGAAAAATATAGTTCGCCTGTTATAGCCTTCTTTCAGTTTTCAATAGGAAGTAAACAGAGACGAGTGATGCATTTTCTGAGAATTTGACGAATTATCTTACGTGCAGAAATGAGCCAGTAGCATTGACGAACTGCGGCTAAAGTGGCTTGTGGTCCAGCATGAAAATGCTTCTCGTGTTCGTGAACCACAATTAAATAGGAAAATGGATGATTCCCTGGTAACAACAGTGGATGCTTGGATGTATAGGGCAGGGAAGATTTCCTCAACCGACCCCCTACGCGTAGAAAGCCGGAACTGTCGAGGAATGGATTTAATTTTAAAATAGGACTGTTTGTGGGAATGGCCTTATGGTTGTCAAGTGCCTGCATTTCTCTTGAAAAATGTTTCAATTGGATTATCTTTACTAAATGATGAATGACTCGTTGTTGTTCGTCGAACGTTATACCTTTAATAGGTTTATTTTGTGGATATGCGACCTCTTGGCATTGGTCGGATGCAATCTTCGATCTGCGTGCTCCTTCTGTGAAGCGAAACATGTATGCCACTACTCGAATGAGTTTAGTGAAGTTGGAATATAGATAGAATATGTCAGGTTCTGACGTGACAACTGCCGCTACGGTGATGGTTTTAGCCTTTCGTTCGGGAAGGTCAGTTTCATTTGCTGGAGGAGCTCCTTGAGGCCAACTTTCCTTGTCAAGTTCCAACCAGGAAGGCCCTGACCACCATATCTTCATTTGGGATAGTGATCCCGGCATGACTCCCCGCGACAATACATCAGCTGGATTGTCTTCGCTTCGTATGTGATTCCACTGATGAATTGAGGTTAATTCTTGTATTTCACCAACCCGGTGTGCTACGAAGATTGACCACGAACGACTGCATGATTGTAGCCACGACAGCACAATTGTAGAATCCGTCCATAGATAAATGGAGGAAATTTGACAGGTATGACATTTTGATACCTTGTTGATGAGTTGGGCTAGTAGTACTGCCCCACATAACTCGAGGCGAGGAAGTGATAAACTTTTTAATGGCGCCACTCTGGATTTAGAGCAGAGTAAGCGGGTGCAGCGCTCATCGTTAATTGAAGTGGAGCACAAATAGATGCATGCCCCATAAGCATTTTCGCTGGCATCGGCAAACCCGTGCAGCTCTAGCCGACTATGTTGTTCTGTAGCAGTGACAAGCCGAGGTATGCGTAGCTTATCTAATTCATGCAACTCGGCTTCAAAACGCTTCCACTTGGTATATAAGTCTAGAGGAATTGCTTCGTCCCATTCAAGCTTTAATCGCCAGAGTTCTTGCATGATGATCTTGGCAAGTAACGTGACCGGACCCACCAGACCCAATGGATCATAAATGAGAGCTATTCGCGACAATACGCGTCGCTTGGTAGGAACGTCAAGAGGAGGTAAGTGATTAATGGATGAACATTTGAATTCATCGGTGTGGCAATCCCATGTGATGCCTAGTGTTCTTTTCTCAGTGGTTTTATCAGGAGATAAACCAAATTCTTTTGGGTTGACGGAAAAATTCTGATCCTGAAGGGCTTGAATATTTGATGCCCACTTCCTGATTTCGAATCCTCCCTTTTGAAGTAGCAAAGTGATCTCTTTCTTAATGAGCAGGGCTTCCTCTGGTGAGTCAGCTCCTGTAACGAGATCATCTACGTAAAAATCCCGTAATGCTATCTGTGAAGCCTTTGGATGATGATTTTCATTATCTTCTGCTAACTTCCTAAGAGTTCTGATGGCCAAGTATGATGCTGAGGCTAGACCATATGTAACAGTGAGTAACTCAAAGGTTTTAATAGGTACGTCCGGCGATTCTCGCCAGAGAATGCGTTGCAATGCTGTTTGATTTGAATCGACCAACACCTGCCGATACATTTTTGTTATATCGGCGGTGATCGCTACTTTGAATGTTCTGAATCTAATCAGAATTGAAAAGAGATCTTGCTGTAGTGTAGGTCCCACCATTAACGTGTCGTTCAAAGAGAGACCAGATGTGGATTTGCACGAGGCATCAAACACCACCCGAAACTTTGTGGTAGAACTCGCTTCATTTTTAACAGCGTGGTGTGGAAGATAGAAAACTGGAGAACTGGAACTGACGATAGCGTTATCGTTCACCTCCTTCATGTGGTTCAATTGTATGTATTCATTCATGAACTTCCTGTATTGATCGTACATCTCGGGTTGAGAGATGAGTCGCCTCTCCAATGATTTGAAACGCTTTAGAGCGTTGTCTTTGGATAATCCCAATTCATTTAATTTGTCTTGTTTTATTGGTAGCTTGACGATGAAACGTCCTTCCTCATTGCGTCTTGTGTTTTGCAAGAAAGATTCTTCACAGGCCTTCTCCTCCGGGGAGAAAGGTTTGGCAACATTGTTATGTTCCACTTCCCAAAACTGATTTAACGTGAGTCTTAATTCATCAAGTGAAGTTAAGTGAAAACTGAGAGAAGGGACAGGCTTGATTATGTCAATTGGTGTAACACCGGAAACTACCCATCCAAAATGTGTCTTTTGAAATATGGGCATATTTTTTGATTGCTTAATCTGACCGGCGCAAACGAGCCTCCAAAATAATTCTGCTCCTATTAAAAGATCAATGCTAGCCGGCACGTTAAAATTGGGATCTGCAAGTTTTATGCATTTAGGAACAGACACGTCTTGCATGGGTATGAAACGTTGCGGTAAGTGTTGTGTTATCTTTGGAAGTACTACGCAATCTATTTCTTCGCAAAAGTTATTGAAACGCGATTTGACGCAAAGGCTGACTATTTTGTTTGCATGAATCACTCCATCCATTACTCCCGCCATCATAATGTTGAGAGGTCGCTCCTCGAGTTTCAATTGATCAGACAACTCTTGTGCTATGAAATTCATTTGAGAACCGCTGTCAAGCAATGCTCGACAAGTGTGAATTTGCTTATTTGAATCATATACGTTAATAATTGCGGTTGATAACAAAATGTTTGAGGAGTGCTGACCTGACGTACATTGGGTGGCGACGGGGAGCAGGGGTTTGGTATCTTGACTTGACAATTGTGTGCTTGATTCTGCTTGATCAGAACGATTCGAAATATCCAAGTGTAACAATGTGTTATGTTTTTTACTGCATTTTCGACAATTACTTGAAGTACATGCTTTAGATTGATGTGTGGTTGATCTCAAGCAGTTAAGACATAAGTGCGCCTTTTTTGCGGCCTTGATTCTATTTTCAACTGATAAATTTAAAAATTCTTTACAATGATATATCGAATGATTTTCTTTACATACGGAACATGAAAGATTGGATGTGGCTACATTAGCAACGAGTGTGGATTTTGAACCGCTGCTATGTTTTTGCGTGACGCCGCTTGTTGAGCTATTGCAAGATCTATTATGTACTGCTTCCAAAGCCTGACATCTGAGTGTCAAGAATTCTATTAAACTCTTTAAGTCTGGAAGATCTTTTCCCTTGATACTTAATTCCCACGCTTTGCCTGTGGCGACATCCAACTTGGAAATGATGAGATGAACGATGAGGTCATCCCAATACTCGGTTGGCCTTTTGAGTGCCTTGAGCGCGCGCAAATGCTTAAGACAAGTGTCTAATAATTCGCGAATCGTATTGTGACCTTCCTTACGTACAGCTGGTATTTCAAATAAGGCGCGAATGTGCCTTTGAACGAGCCATCTTTGATTGTCAAAGCGCTCTTTAATAGCTTCCCATGCGTCTTGATAATTGGCTGCAGTGGTCTCTATCGATTTGACTATCTCAGCGGCATTGTCCTTCAACGAGGATCTCAGGTAGTGAAATTTTTCGATTTCCGATAAGCCTTCATTCAAATGTATTAACTTTTCAAAAACATCTCTGTATGAAAACCAGTCCTCGTACGCACCTGTGAACACTGGTAACTCTATTTTTGGCAATTTGATACGCGTTTCCCTTGAATTAACCGCATGCTCATTAACATTGGAAGAAATTGAATGCGATAAATTACTCTCCTTCCGCTCGATGAGAGTGGTGTAACGAGACATTAATTGAAAATACGGACTTTCAAAACTGTCCCGCTGTAGAACTTGCTGATCGTGAAGAGCTGTTTTGTCGGTGATCAAGGGATCTGCGTTCTCGAGCATTTCTATACGACACTGAACTGCCTCAAATTGATTCCATAAATCTGACAATTTTTGCCTGCGCTCAGTTAGATCATGTCGCGAACCGTTGTCCACATCGAAATTGTCGATAAAGGTTTTTAGCCTTGTGGCTGCCGCTCTTATGTGTGCACGCTTGTTTTTCGCGTCTAACAATGTGAGTGTGTCCATTGCGAATGTTAACTGTGATGCGCGCTATTACTGAAATACTATCGTAAATCGTTGGAATGTGATAATTCCGCCAATGAGGCTCTATGAAAATGCAAATGGCCGCCCTTGTATGCGAAACTGTATGTTACTTCGATAAGGTGCAGAATGGCATCTCGCGAGAAAAATGGCTAATTTATTGAGCGCACAATATGGCGGTTATGATAAACGAAAATGATGAACGCAGTCTGGCGTCACCATGTACCGAGACAAAGACTTCGATGTGTCGAACGTCTATTTAATGCAAATTGAAAATGATGAACGCAGTATGGCGTCACCATGTACCGAGACAAAGACTTCGATGTGTCGAACGTCTATTTAATGCAAATTGAAAATGATGAACGCAGTATGGCGTCACCGTGAAATCAAACAAAGACTTCGATGTGTCGAACGTCTATTTGCATGCAATATGAAACTATCTTGCGATTATGCGGAATTTTCTTACCTCGCAACTTATGGTTGTGAATACTTACTTCGTGCAATTGATACACGTGCATATACCTTGTGACGGCTATTGCCTGTTTGCTTGGAATAATTGCTTATTTGTCAATCCATAAGAATCCGTCGTGTACGGAAATTCATGAAATATTCGTGCAATCCGTGAGATATCTGTGTATCCGCGGATTCGCGTATCCTTGTATCCGCGCAATATCTGTGTATCCGCGTATCCTTGTATCCGCGCAATATCTGTGTATCCGCGTATCCTTGTATCCGCGAAATATCTGTGTATCCGCGTATCCTTGTATCCGCGAAATATCTGTGTATCCGCGTATCCTTGTCTCCGCGAAATATCTGTGTATCCGCGTATCCGGCTCGAAGGACCAATGTTGAGTAAAGAAACTTGTATTCTTTTTGCGTTAAGTGGAACGCTGTTTTCTCGTAGACTGAGATTGTATCTCGTACCTTGTTGGCGTTGTAGTAACGAATTATGCAGGACGAAAAAGAATACTAACAACTGATTCTGCTAAATTCTACTTTAATGCGTCTTAACATAATCGATCTGTTTTACAAGTGAACAAAGAGCACGTTCATGGCGTAACTCACAAAACGTAACTAACTTCTTGATACGAAAAGGCAACGGCCAACACGAGAGCCGCACGCAAGGCCCAATAGTTCCTAGTAGCGCCACGGAAGCGCGCGCAAGTTGTGAGGCAGGTCGGTAAGACCACGCGAATGGTTGGTAAACGAAATATGCAAAACGTGTATTAGCATTAGGAGCTAACAATTATAAATAAAAATCCCCAATCTAATTAACTAAATAAATTTAAAAATGAATAAAGGGCATAAGAGTCAAAAATTAAAACTAATCTTATATGTCAAATTAAAAAAAAAATTTTATTACGAAGATATAAAATAGAAAATTAATGTTCTTAACAACATATGATATTGACATTAGAATTACATGTTTCGGCTTCTATATTGAGCCATCTTCAGATCTTCAACATCAAAAATATAAAAATAAAATAGATACGCAGTGGATGTTCCAGTTAAGAATTCTCCGATGAATAAAACTTCGACAAATCAACTGTTCTAACGTGGACATATGAACACGTATGTCTTTCGTATCGAGCACACTGATTTATACATATTTGATTCTTCCATATAGAAGAAAAAATACTTGTGAAAATTGGCGGAAACTGTCCTTTCCTCCTCTGATAGTCAGTAAATGGTTGTAAAAAGCACGTAAAGTAAGCCTATACTCGGGCAGAATCACACATTTTAACAGCTGATGAAACGAGTGAAATATACGCTTTTACGTATAAAATTTCACGATAACTGCAGTTTCCGCCAATTTTTAGGACTTTCACGAGTACGAGAATTATATATAAAATAATTTAATTTCAGCTACCTTTGGATAAATTCCAACGTCTTCTCAATTTCTTTTTGGTAACAAATTCTAAATACATAATATGCTAAAAAGCTAATAAAAAATCCTTGGAACGCGTCATCGCAAAAAATTATCACCTTTCTTTCGATGATAACGTTACATGTAGCATTAGAATCATAAAGCCAGTTTTCTATACAATACAAAAAAAATTCACATTTTCACAAATAAGCAAATATTAACGAAATGGCACGCAAGAAAAATTTTGTCGTTAAAACATCACTTTTTCACGCCTATTAGTTCAGCCTTTTACCATGGCGAGGCGCTATACACACACACACACACAAGCATAAACCCGTGTCTGTGCGCTCCCCTTCTACCCGAAAATGAGCACACGGACATGAGCTTGCATTTGTGTGTATAACCAGTAGTGTACTACCAGTTTTGCTAGCCACCGACTAATTCGGTGTCGCTACCCATCAATATGGACTTCTTGGCTGCAGAGTATTCAGGAGCTTTAAGTCTTGTATATTATATCGATTTGATCGTTCATCATCACTCATATTTATGTATAATAAATTTTTGTATAAAATTTATTTATAAAAATTACAATACAATTTGCAATTCAAGTTAAAACAAATTTAGAAAAACTAATATTTATTAATCTTCCCCTCTCTTTCTCCCTCCTTTCCACTAGATTCCACTAGACATATATAGTATATATAGCGGATATATATGTGTACACATGTGCGCATGCACATGTATATACATATATAATATACATATATTATTGAATATATATATGGGTGGTGGAGGGGTGGGAAGGGAACACATATATATATATATATATATTACCAGGGTTGTTAACGTTACTGTTTTTATGTAACGCGTTACAGTTACTGTTACTTGCGATAAAAAGTAATACGTTACTCGTTACTCGTTACCCATTGTAAAAAGGAACGCCTTATCGTTACTCAAAAGTAAGGGGAAAAACGTTACTTTTTCCGTTACTTTTCAAAAAATGATAATATTTATGTAAATATAGCTACATAAGAATAAATTGTTTTTTAATTTTGTAGGTTTTTATTTTATATTTCATTAACTATTTTTTATTTTATGAATTCTTTATTTGATACTTTTGATACATATGTATATCAATTTACATTAAAAATAGTAGAATATTTTTTAACTTAAATTATCATGGATTTATTTCTCTGAACCTTGAATTTTTCTTCAATAACAGTTGTTGTTCAAAATGTTCGTCTGTTAGGCGGTGTCGAAGATTCGACAAAACGAGTCCACCAATATTAAAAAGTCTTTCTACCGATGCACTGCTTGGTAGACTGGTATTATATCTGACGAATAATTTTTTCAAAAGAAGATGCTCATTTAACATACTAACATCGGTATCATCCGAATGTAAATAATGTGTTATCTTTTCTTCAGCAATGTTTTTTTCTTCATTATGTTTTGAATATTGAAAGAAGTTGTCATAGTCGTATTTCATTCGCTTCGATGTTAAGGGTTGATCTTGAATACTTCGATTTTGCTGATTTAACAATGGTTCAAGTAAATCAATTAAGTATTTCTTACAGACATCCTTCTTTTCTTTTTGTTCGTCACATTGTTCATTCAGCCAATTCAATTTGAAACGTGGATGCAAGCAAGAAGCTATTAAAAATTCTTTTCGATTTAATTGTTGTTTAAATCTACAAATTGTTAATTATTGTATAATTATTTATTCATGTAATATTAAAGAACACTAAACTATAACTAATATAGTAATATGACAAATGACAATATGAATATATGTTGTGTAATTGCAATTTAATATTATACCTTGTTCTCACTCCATTTTTAATAACGTATACAAGTGGGAGACAATATTGTAATTGAATCTCTTCAAGATTTGTTAACCTGTTCAGAAGACTTGTAAGAACTGGTAATAAATATCCTATATACATGCCTTGTTCGCCTTGAAGTATATCAAGAGATACTGCTAATGGAGTCATAACCTAAAACAATAATAAAATAATCATTGTAAAATGTGATTGTTCGTACATAGGACAGACCAAAAGAAAGTTTAATACGAGAATTAAAGAACATTTATCAGACTTCAAAATAATCAAATTTATTATTTTTTGTATTGCATCAATTATTTAATTCAATGAAAGAAGAAATCGATTTAAGACGCGTTTCAACTATATTGTGAAAGGATCCATAAATAATATTTATACCTACTATGTTCACAGAAAAATTAAATTGGAATAAAATGGAATAAAATAAAATTACCTGTATATATTCATTAATGAACTTCACTTCATTATCTGTAAATCTAGGTAGATTGCAAAAATCCATACATTGATATAATTCATTCACTCCTTTTTCTTTTATAATGCATTGTAACTGTTTTAAAGCATCAAATATAGAATTCCACCTAGTCAAGATGTTATTTTATTCAGTGATTTGTATTGAATAACTTTATTTGGCATGGTTTATATTATTTTTCAACAATTATACTATTTAATAGTAAACAATATTATATATAAACTAATTTAAAAAATTGTAATTTATAAACACACTGAAAATAAATATAGTCAATTTTAATAAATATTTAGTTGAATACATGCCAACTAAATAGTTACAGTAAGTAAATAAATATTTGTTCAACAAAAAAAGAATGATTATATATTAAAATTAAATTAACGTTTCTTGTATTAAATAAGTATAATATATCTACCATATATGTTTAACAAAATATTTAGTTGGCATGTATTCAACTAAATATTTATTAAATTAATGTATTTGTTTTCAGTGCAATAATAATAATTTCTGTTCCATTATTTAAAAAAAATCCACATAAATACCTAGTGATCACGGGTGTTACCAAGTATACTCCAATGACTTTATGAATATAATCTGCGATTTGTGTAGATTGATTTTGTTTCGACCATAATTTTGAACACTTAGCAAAAGTGCTTCGATAAATTTTTTTATATACTGAATCATTCATTGCCTCTTCTGTATCATGTACAGCAATGAGATTTAATGTATGACAGGCACACCTCATATGTTGTGGAAGAGTAATAAGAGTAATATCATTTTCGATATTTTCAAAATCAGAATCATTACAATGTTC